TTCTGCATGGAGCACTGGGTGTTATGCACAAACAATGAATCATGGAACACTTCATCTAAAACTAAGATGTAATGTATGGGGATTAACATAAGAATAAAAAAAAAAAAAAAAGAAAGTGGTGTCTTTCTATGACTGAAAGATCTCAAGGAGGAAGACTTAGAACAAAGTCCCCAGGGGACACAGAACCAACACCAAATACTTAATGATGATAAATATTTCTTAATATTCACATATCCCTTCCTATGCATGGATCATTCAATATTCTTTATAATTCATTCATAACAGCCAGTCCTGGTTTAGGAAGTCAGAGGCAGCTTCAGTTCCAGCAGCTGTGCAAAGGGATGCCCGCCAAAAACGCTCTTCTGGAGCCAGGAATGGCTTGAGGAAGCTTTACCTGTCCAGGAATCTTAATTACATCACTCTGTTCACTCCACACCTTCCTGGTCAGTGTCTAGGTCAATGTCTGATATATGGCAAGGTCAGAGCACAACTGATCACAGAATGAATATTTGACTTGATCCATATCTCACAGAATCAGTTTAAATTTAAAAAGGTGAACACTTAGATCTCTCAAGAGTCATCTAGGAATAAAAATCCAGAAAGTGATAGCCTCATCAAACGTAGGAAGTTCCCTTTGGTTTGGCTGGGGTGAAGTACAGTCACTTGCAATGCATTTAGTCTTCAGTCAGTTATCATTTGGAATTGTTCTCATGTGTAAATCAAATCCATCAGACTTTATGACAGGATGGCAAGGGCTCTGCTTCATTCATCACCAAATACATAGAGACTAGCAGAATATCTGAACAATCACTGATTAAATAGAATCAACTGCATGCAGGAATGAACTCAGGCATTCTTCATTTTACTTCATAATTGATCAATCAGTATTGGTTAACAGTCCACTGCCTTGGGGCGCTTGGGTGGCTCAGTCAGTTAAGCATCTGCCTTCGGCTCAGGTCATGATCTCAGGGTCCCAGGATCAGCCCCGCGGCGGGCTCCCTGCTCAGCAGGGAGTCTGCTTCTCCCTCTCCCTCTGCCTGCTACTCCCCCTGCTTGTGCTCTCCATCTCTCTGTCAAATAAATAAATAAAATCTTTAAAAAAGTCCACTGCCACTCTTACTGCACTTGTAAAAATTACTGCCTGTTCCGAAAGTATCATTAAAATTGCTGATACATCATTAACAATTACTGTTACTAAGTTTGTTCATTGTAAGCCATACTATTCATCCAATGAACATTTGTTATTTATGTGCAGAATATGGCTTTCAGCTGGCTCTTCAAGTTTAGTAATAGGTAACAGTAGATTTTGACTCATAGTAGGTCACAGCAACTGACATCACAATAAGAAAAATGCTGGACATAATTCAATTCTACCAAAACACCTAAAATGTACAAGCTTCCACGGTACGAGCCTTCTGTATAAATGTACAACCTATAATTTCCCAGAATCCCCAAGCAATGTAAAATTTAAATGGTTAGACTATGTTGTACTAGAAAAAGCCACAAGCTTTGTGGCATTTTCTAAAAACCTGTCTGTAAGTTGTTCTTTCATAGGCTGTTCTTTTAAAACTATACACGTTAGTTTGGGTTCTCTGAGAAACAAATGATAAAATGGGATTAAATGTGATTTACTGGGGAAACGTTTTGAATCATGAAGGGGACAAGTAGGCAGAGTCTGACACCTATGAAGGGAGAGAGAAGGAGAGGAGGACTGGGTAGGAAGAGTCTCAGACAGCAGTACAGTCCGAGGAAAGTACTGGGCAGGCTAATGGGGAGTCCCTGAGCCAATGTCATCCATGAGGGGAGAGGGCCAACATACTCTTTCATTGGCTGGGAACAGCCTGGAGGAAGTGTAGCCTCAGCAGGAACACAGGGGTGGATCCCATGGGGCAGCAGCTGCAGTTCTCAGTCAACTCTGCTTCCCACAGGACGAGATGTGAGTGATGCAGTTCCAGTACTACATCTTTTGAAAGTCTTCAGGTTTTTTTGTTAATGTTTGATGGACGTAAAGACCATAAATGTTTTCATGCCACCAAACTGTACCTATGTATTTGACGGCTGTCATGGAACATGTTACCATTAACAGAGGTTAAGGATTCTATTATCTTAATACAACACTTTGTTACATATTTTATATTCATTTTTTTTTAAGATTTTATTTATTTGAGAGAGAGAGAATGAGAGAGAGCACATGAGAGGGGGGAGGGTCAGAGGGAGAAGCAGACTCCCTGCCGA